AGGAGGAGTAGGAGAGGGGGGTGGGGTGTCAGAAACGGCAAAAGAAAGAAACAGCAGACAAAGAGAAATCTGAAACATTCCTCAAGTCATCTTTTCCTGGAGAAACGCCTGTGTTATGCAAATGACGACATGGACGTAACAGCATCCATTGATATTCTAATAGGGGCAACACAATAACAGCTCAGTTCATCCAACCGATCAGCTACAAAATCTTGTAGTTACACGAGAATTATAATCGTCCTCATGAAGTGCCAAATCTGAAACAGACATCGATCATTACGGTTTGCCACTCTGCTCTCATGTCTTTACAAAAACAAAAATGATATCCTAGCCATTCTGCGTCACGCCTGGGTAAGTTCTGTTGGTGAAATTTTCTTGGTCTACCCTATCTCTTCTGCTTTATTCTTCCACCGAGAGCGAGATATTCGAGGTCTTTATGTCTGCTCAAACTCAAAGAGATGTATACATCTGTGTATTGTTTAAGCCCCTTCATTTGGGGTATCGGTGTTATACGGAACTTGGCATTAGTGGTCGGCTTTAAACAAAGAAAAGACAATAATATGACTTGGGAGTTTTTCGAAAGGTGGTTTACTGGGTATTTGCATTGAGGTTTTTTTCTGTGACAACTGTCAGAATAAACACAGGCAGGACTAAGAGCAGATATGAGTTGGTCACGATGAACTAAATGACTACATTATACTAGAATACAAAAGGGGAAAAAAGGTAGGGGGCAGGTATAGGGTGCAGTTTCGAAATGCTAATTCATTCTAGAAAAAGATACTCCAACTTGAAAAAGTTCTCAATATTTTTAGTTTGGTTTCATTCAAAAAGTTTTTCTTTCCTTGTGTACTTTTGATAATTCAACTCAGTTTAGTTTTATTGTTATTTGACACAAGTTCATTGTATGGAAAATTAAACTGCGGGAATAAATCTAAAAATTCATGCAAAGGTGCTGGAAAAAAGAAATCTACACAGGACACTGAGAAGAAGGTAGAAGAAAGATACTGGGGTGTAGTTCTGACACTTCAGGCCATAGAGCTTACTGTATAAGAGGGGAGTAGAAATGTTACATCACACAAGTTCAATATTCAAAGAAGGGGAGAAAAACTTGTCGTTCAGAAATGTTCAATATGGCTGGGGTGCAGGAAGGGAATCTACGTGTACATTATGTCAGGGGCTGAAGAGACAAACCGGGTGGGCACGACTGTGCGGCGTGTGGTGCGCACAGTGGGTCGCGTGGTTGGCACAGTGGGTCGCGTGGTGCGCACAGTGGGTCGCGTGGTGCGCACAGTGGGTCGCGTGGTGCGCACAGTGGGTCGCGTGGTGCGCACAGTGCGGCGTGGTGTGGTGGTAACTGTGGGGCGTGGTGTTGTTCTCCGGGTGGTTACCGTCGTTCCTGGAGTCCGCAGGGTGGTCCTGAGCGTTGATGGGGTTGTAGTATAGGGATCACAAAAGTTATGTTTGCCGCTACCTCAGCAAAGCTAGCTAAAATCTTTGGTTAGGAAAATTTTCGTAACCCAATTAGCTAGCTCATTAACTTAATGTTATAGTTACGAACAACTTTTTTTCGTATATCCGTTGTTCTGGACTAGAGAGTATCCATGTCTAGAAGTCCCGTGCGAGAAGGCTTCCTGGTGGCATGTTGTTGCCACGATCGAACGATGGGATAATAAGAGCTTTTAAATCCTAAAGGACTTTTGAGATCCACCCACCCAATCTAAAAATTACTCTTGTTGTATAACTGTTGAAAAATGTTTCCTGTATGTAATGAACGGATTGATTTTAAATTCATCAACAAAGTTTTATTAGGTAAAAGATAAATGACGTAGTACCGTAAAATAAAGATGATAATGTTAATGGAAAACATACTATATGTAAACAGAAATAATTAGTTCCGCGTTGGTTATAAAGATCCCAAACAGATACACCTAAACCACAGAGTTAAATTGAGTGGTAGAGCCCCTAATGTCTGCAGGATTGCTGGATAACATCTTTTTGTGTTCTTTGTCTTACAAAATAAGCGGACAGTAGAAAACAACAAAGATATAGATCAAACTTCGACGATAACAGAATAGACAGTGATTTGAAACTCGGGTAGTTCACTACAGTGACGCTGAGATGTAACAGAACAGCGTTGTCTGCTGGAGGCAGCTTGAATTCTGTAGTGAGTGGTTTACGTTGCTTTAGGCCATAGACTTGTATTATAAGATCCTAGATCATGCACCCTGATGTATTTCCTGTTCACTGTAAGACGAGTCATTTGAGCCAACTGAAAGGGGGAGGGGAGGAGTGCGGTAAATGTGATGGTCGTGCAGAACCCCCCCCCCCCAAAAAAAAAACACAAAAAAATCCAAACCAAAACAAAACAATAGCTGTTGTCAAAGATGAATTACTTTCCAAGAAGCGAAACCCATTCATTGCCTTCATTTGAGTGTAATAATGCTGTCCACGGTGAGCACGTTGCGCATGAGCAGCGAAGCTTTTTATAGAAACCGAAGAGCGACAGCCAAGAACAACGCGCAGTTTAGGATGTTATATAGTACGGTAGTGTAAAATATCTTTGGTTTAGGTGAGGTGGAACCAAAGACACTCTACTAGGACACAATCTTTGGTGGAACCTCGTTAGTTCAGGTTTACCTGGTGGGTACAGTTCTGCGAGTTGTTGCCCTTGTCGTAGGCCTTGTAGTCGGTCTGATCGTTTGTCTAGTGGTAAGCCTGGTCGTCGGGCGAGTCGTAAGCCTTGTCGTCGGTTGGGTCGTACGTCTGGTCGTAGGCCTAGTAGTAGGTCTAGTCGTAGGTCTAGTCGTAGGTGTAGTCGTAGGTCTAGTGGTAGGTCTGTTCGTAGGCCGGGTCGTTGGCCGGGTCGTAGGCGGGGTCGTTGGTCTGGTCGTAGGTCGTGTTGTTGGAGTAGTTGGTCTCGTGGTAGGTCTTGTTGTGGGCACTGTAGAGTCGGATGAAGGAAAAATGATCATCTAGTCATTTTAAAATAATATGTCATGGTGACGAAAAATAAAGAGTTATTTCTAGTAAGACACATAATATTTTATCATAAAAGTAACAATAATAAGTGTTTCCGGCCCCCTTGACACACTTTTTGTCATTTAGGAGGAAGGCCATTGGGACCCTGTCTGTCAGTATCAGCGCCAACCCTGTCTGTCAGTATCAGCGCCAACCCTGTCTGTCAGTATCAGCGCCAACCCTGGCTGACAGGGATACAACGTCCTAGGAGACAAATGGAGATATCGGAAAAACAAAACCTCCCAAACGGGACACGAACTGATGTCGTCTGCGTGCAGCGGAGAAGCACCTAAAGGCTACACCACAGACAGGGTAT